GTAACAAATATGGGTTTATATCTGCTTCGGTTACGTACGTGAATCGAGATTGGAAGTTTGTCTCACGTCATCTTTCAATGAAGATGATCGCATGGCACCACAAAGGCGAGTGGCTAGCTGAGCCACTGATTAATGTACTTGTTAAACACAAGCTCTACCCAAAGATCAGTCTATTACATTTGCTTTTTAAATGAGTTTGCTATCATCTAACATTTGTTCGAATTTGAATCACACATGCTTGCTCAGACTCATGATTCAGGAAGCAACAATGATACATGTGCTCGAGCCATGCAAACACGATTAACAAAATTTGCATCAGATCAATGTGAAGTATTTGAATTTGACGAGTCTAGAGATCGAGTTCGATGTGCCGGACACAAAATAGCCTTGATAGTCAATGCAGGACTTCAGGCTTTAGGAATCAAAGCGCCACCTCCACCTCTAGTGAAGTCGACAATCCTTGGCGAATTCCCTCTTGACGAACACACTTTATCTACGATTGCTGAAGAAGAAGACAAGGAAGTCGAGCAAGGACCTGGAAAGACTCAGCCTCGCATTTTGGATTCCACCGCTAACGACAAAGCTGATTCAGATGATGAATTGGAGCTTAACAACTTACCTGGCAAAGAAGTCGATGACCAATGGTATGGTGTAATTGATGGACCATTTGAAGAAATTCCTACCGATCCCTTGGATAACCCAGCAACTAATCGAAATGAAGCCAACGCAGTTTATCTATTAACTCTGGTGGTAAGTTTCATTTGATTCATTACCTCATTCTACATTACACACTTCTGAGAACCTCTGAACTTCCTATTCCTAGCTCGATGAAATTGCTCGGAAAATCGGAGGCTCGTCACGAATGTTAGCTGTCTTTGATGCGACATGCGCTTCTATGGGTGTCAAATTTCCTAGACCTATTCCAGGTTATGGAATACGTTGGAATATTAAACTACAGTGTTGGGAGAGATTGTTCAACGCTCAAGAGGTGAGTCACTGTCTCTTGCTAACTACGAATATCATATCGCTGTCTCATCTACATACTCTTTATTCTAGGTTATTGATCGAATGCTAAGAGACGACCAGAAGGAAACTGTCAAAGAGAAGAATGGTAAAAATCGAAACTCAGAGCTAGGGCCCAGCGATCCGGATTCAACTCAACCTCGTGGTATATTTAACAAGGCTTTCATATCTCCGGACCAATGGAAGCAAGCAGGCAGATTGATCAAAGTCCTACGGGTCAGTATGTTGTGTATCTATTTCCGAATAGTTTCAAACTTGCTGACACTTTGATTCACTACAGGAATTCCAAACCTTGACTAAACTATTTGAAGCAGATGCTCCTGCCGGTTCACTGGTCATCCGTGAATACGTCAAACTGAAGAAGTCCATTCAAGCCAAAATTGACTCATGTGCTTCGCGAGCCGACCCTCTATTTCCAATGTATCACGCCATGCTGGTTCGAGTCAAAGTGTATCTCTCCGAAGCCCTCAAATCCAATGTTTTGGTCCTAGCCACCGTACTCCATCCGTCTTGGCGAACAGATTACTTTCAGTTTGCATTCGGTGCCAACTCCGAGGAGTTCACAGCCGCTCAGGGTTTATTAGAAGCTGCATTTGATAAACGAAAATCAGAACTGAATTCAGGAAACAATGATAGGAACAGTGGCAATTCTGATGATGGCGAGGATGATGATGAAGACGGATTTCGTGCACACAAAAAGAAAGTTCAGACGCGGATTGAAAATGAGCTTACCAATTACTTTGAGCGCGTTGATGAGCCTTCTAAAGATGTAGAGAAGGATCCACATCTTGCTCTAGAATGGTGGAAGGTAAAGTTTTTTTCAAGCACTCGAGTTTCACATCACCTATAGCTACTGACATGAGTTGTGTATCATTCGATTGTAAGGTCAATGCCTCGAGATATCCGGTTTTATCATCTTTAGCACAGGATTATCTTGCAGTTTGTGGGGCATCGTGTGCTGTGGAGAGAACCTTCTCCGCAGCTGCAGATGTCTGCGGCAGGGATCGAGGGGCTTTAAAACCTGCAACGGTCGAGCGGTCAGTAGGTGCTCGGCTTTGGTCCAAGGATGGCATCAAGATACAGGGAGCTGAGTTTGCGGAGTGTCAAAGGTGCATGTGCGAGTCCATGTCCTTGGATAAGTCAAATCGAAAAAGGAGGGGGGGGTGACATTAATAATACTACAACTTCAAGTAAAAAAGTGTTTCTATTATATTTGTATCTTTCATTTCATTAGTTTGTTTTGTTTATTTTTGCGTATGGCTCTGAGAGTCACATTCCTTTCCCAGTTCCTAGTTTTTATTTTCATTTCTGTGGCTTGAAGCTCGGGGAGCTACATCTCTTTTTTGGTTCTTACTATGGGTTTTATTGAAATACAAGTGGCGATATGTCTGGTTCTGATACCTCAGATACCCAATACGATACCGATACCGTATCGATATCTTTGGTATCCACCGAATAGCCGTGATACCAGATACCGTATCGGTATCGTATCGGTATCGTTAATACTGTACTATAGGAACCCCCGGCATAGTATCCTGATATTGGATACCGTATCCGGTATTGTATCGAGGAGGGGTATACTGTACTGGTATCATGCTAGTGCAGTATTGAGACTTCGATACTTTACTTAGTATCGACGATACGATACCAGTACAGTATCGTGGCAGCGTTGCTTCAACTACTTCGCCATCTTTAATCAAGATCTCTTTTCTTTTTTTATGTTTACCTATGTTTAAATTGAAAGATTGAATTTAATCTAAATGATGCTACAATGGAATGAACTTAGTCAAAAACTTTATAGAAATGTTGGAAGAGATTAATGAATGAATCAGAAGAAACATTTAGAAGGACTTGCTAAATAATCAAAAATCGATTTTTTTGATTTGATGGGAGTTGATGAAATGGGTGGTGACAGGGCAACAGTAATAGATTGATTGATCAATTGAGAAGTGTCCAAGGCTTGATTTGACTTGGACCAACCTAAAACAACATAGAAACCACTCAGGATAGGTCTTAAGAAGAGGTCAGAAGAAAGGGATGAGAAAGTCAAAAAATCGAACTTACAATAGGTTTGATTAGGTTTGAAGGGTTGGGTATGAAAGGATGTTTTTGATTGTTTGTGTGTGAATAATCCTGTCTGATCGTGGGAGTGTGTTTTTTGGTTGTGTTTTCCTATTTTTGATTGTTATCGAGTTATCGCAGCGAGACCGCTATAGTCTTGGCTTCTTTTTTCGTGTTATCAAGTCGCTTTCTAGAAGAGAAAGAAGAAACCAAGGCTGTATAGAGTGTTAGTTTTCTTTCTTTAATTCATTGTATTGATAGTTGAAGTTGCGAGTAGAAGGAAACAAGAGTTAAAAAAAAGACTTACTTTTATTAATTGTAAGGGTGGCTGAGGAGTGTTATTGGTGATTTTAGAAACCCTTATCAGTGGGATTTTTGAAATTTGGATTTTTTCTTATTTTTTATATTTTTTCTTAGAGCATCCACTATTGTCTCAGTAAGTTGCCTCGGTACGGTAAATTTTACTGTACCAAGCCCAAAAAACCCCAATTGTGCCCAAAGTACAGATCGGTACTTAGGGATTCACTCATAATTCAGTAGAGGTCCAGCAAATGTACTGGACCTACTGGACCTCTTCACCACGGGGCAGGTGGCACGTGACACTCACGTGAGATTTGACTCTGTGTGCTGTCTACATCGTCATACCCGATGTGAGTTACACATGCTAGCCAGTGTGGGCTTTGCCCAATCTGATCATCATCGAGTGAGTCATCTCACCTTGTTATGATGTGAGAAGGCTCACTCAATGATAAGGTGAGATGACTCACCTTGGTGAGAGTGTGAGTTAGACTTTGTGGCAACCAGGTGAGATAGCTTGTACTCCTGTAGTGTAAGCAAGTATGGGGCTGTTGAGTGATGGCTCATTGTAAGCAACACCCTCAAATCAAGCTGGGATGTTTTAGTTCTTTGCTCACAGTATGAAATTGAAGACTATAACTGATCTATCTTTTGCATTGACAAAATATACAGATAGCAATTACACAAGCAAGGGAAATGATATTCAGAAAAAAACAAGAAAAAAAGATGAGAATAAAGACAAGAATAAACAATCAACATGAATAAAAAATGAGCCTATGATGGAAATGTTCAATGATTTGGTTGTGTACTGAATAATTCAATTTTGATTGATTGTTCCTATAGGAAATGCTCATCAAGCAATCAAGCAATCAATCCATGATCAATGAGAGTCAGAAGAGATCATTGAGATGATGAAAGACTTACAACTTATAAGATTGATTCAAATGTATGGAGCTATCAGAACGATGAGGGAAAAAAAGGAAAGAGACCAATTATGTTCAGTAAACAAGGACAAAAATAAATAAATAAAAAAAGAATGGAACATTATCAAAGAGCCAGTCTTCAACTCGAGATAATCGACCTAGACTTTGATATCAACAATTCAAACAGAAACAGAAGAGAATGTCATCAATTTGTAGGATGATGTGAATGAGGTGTAGAGAAGAAAGAAGAAAATCAAATAAGGCTTACAAATGGGGCGATCGACCAAACGAATTTGATATGAACAACACAAACATAATCAATCATCATAAAAATCAAACTTTAGGCTGATCTGAATGAGATCAAGGGGGAAAAGACTTATGGATAGTACCCGTACGAGGTATGAGGGAGGTTACTTAGGTCCATGGCCGCACTTGGGCAGCGGGAGCCCGACGTTCCAGGCAGCAGCTTCTCTGAGCACCCGGTAGTGGATGCTTTAGTCACCGAACGGTTACATAAGCAATCCCAGGTGCCTGATGGGAGTCAAGCATGACATGATCCCATCTTCAGCTGAGGCCTGGATGCCTAGAGTCATATCGAAGGAAGGTCTCAAGACTTTCCTCCCCCAACCTCAATATTCTTTCTCTGACATCCTCGTTTCCTTGTAGGAAACGTCTCATCGATTCCACGCTGGTTCTCTAGTGCTCTCTTGTCTTTTTCTGTACTAAAACACAAGTCCCCTGGAATTCATCACCTGTCATAGATATAATTCATAGCAAACTTTGAAACAAAATGAGAAGAGGCAAATCAACCAACAAATTTGAGTAGGATCTGAATCTGGTTTACGACCAATTGAGACCACTTTAAGATCAAGCGCCATAAGTCTGATAGCTCCATTATGATCATCTAAAGTCGGTCTAGGATTTGCTCCATAAACTTTATAAAACCCAATTGAAAGAAAAAATTCAATATGGTTACTGAAATATGGTGAGTGAGTGAAATCTTACTTACAGTTATATGCATGTAAATCACGATAATCCAGAAAACAAACCACTCTTAACCATTTCCCTTCAACACCAGCCCAATCATACTGATTCAGATCAATTTCATTTTGATCAAGACTACTAGTAGTCGGAGGCCAAGGAGGATCCGGATAAAGATAAGCCAGATTCATGATTTGAGTATGAGGTCTTGAAGTAGCAAGACCAGATAAGATAGGCCAATCGATATCAGCCCCAGTAGGACCAATAGTCAAATGAGTAGGATTAAGTTGATCTTGTGTTAAATGAATGACAATCGGAGTAGTCAAAACACCTGTAGCGGGTGTATGAGAAGTAGGTTGAGATTGACTTGCATACGTTAAATTTAAACCGACTACAACACTTAAGGCTTCCAAATGAGCCCAATTCACTTGTCCTGATGTATCTGGCATAAAAGGACCATAAAAATTTTAAGGATGATTATTTGAAAGTGCATAACAAGCTTCATGTGTTACCCCACATGATCTAGGTCTAGATCGATCTAAATCAGTTAAACCAAATTTTGTATGAAGTTCAGCAGCTTTAGAAACTAATGAATCATTTAAACACGGTCGACAATCAAATAAAACTTGAGTTTGAAAAGCTTGTCCAGAGAAATGTAAGATTCAAAATTGAGCTGAAGTGTTTTGATTAAAGATTTGATTCAAAAATTCCACATTTCCTGATGAAGATGATGTTGAAGTTGTTGAAGAAGATGCTGGATTGAGTAATTCGAAAATATCTTGATAAAGTTCTATCATCTTTTCTCTTCCTGGATAATTCTTTGACTTATAGAAAAACATCAAAAATGAAAACGTCAATCAAATGAACTCAATAATTGAATGAGATTTGTTTACCAATCTTGTACAAAGTAAATCATATTGAGTAGGAGCCAGAGTTTGTCTAAGTTTAATCCTACGTTGAACCAATTCTCTCCAATCGATCAAATCAGAAGGGGAACTTTGTCTTGAAAGTTCATCCAGTACTTCTCCTTTGATTTCACCACAAAAACCCATGACCGGTTCATGAGTGGAAGTAATAGGTGGATCCTGTGCAAAAGAGATCAATATCTCAGCCCCTGATTGTATTTTTCTTTGGATGAGAATGAGCAGAAGAAGAACTTACAAAGTATTTCGTGATTACTGGTGCATCCAAGAAATGTGACAATGGTGTGACACACAAGAAAGGAGTGCGTGAAACTTGAGAGGATGTCACAGGTATGTAAGGTCTGCAGAAGGGGCGTGAAATTGATTACTGTCTGCTGACAGTCAGCGCTGTTGGGGACATCCCAGTTGCCCTTGTTCCTGAAACAGTTTGGGTTGATGTTGTAAAACCCAACACAGGGCTAGCTTGACAAAAGCCCAGCCAGCCACAGGTGTCCCCCGGATCAGCAGGTGTCAAGGGATACCACTGAGGATGAGCTGAGGGGCTTAGATGAAGTGAACAGATGGGCCAGCCCTCCCCCAGGCTCCTTTGCTAAGGAATGTTGCCTGAGGGAGGCCTGACTCATCTCCTCAGTTTCTGTTGATCACATAATGAGCTGACAAGCAGAAAGAAAAGGGAAACAAATGGGAAACAAATGGGAACAAAACAGGAAAATTTCAACGCTCACATAGTTGTGAGCATCAATTTTTGCCCCTGTGAGTAGACTTCTTCATTGGCTGATCACGCACGACACCGCGAAATAGTGGGTTGTTAGGCCTTCCGCCGGTTGCCGTCAGGAGGTCTCGAAAAGCTTTAATTGGATTGAGGCGATTCGGTTGCTTGTTGAGACGGAGAAATTGCAGTTTGCCTGGCACGGCCTTCTTGGCCAACCGTAAACAGAGTGTGGCCTTGCTGAAGTCCTGAGAGAACTTAATGTCCCGCCTCCTGATGAATACGTCCGGGTGGTTGCAGTGGTGTGTAAGTTCTGATCCAAGCCTCGCCAAACCCCAGAACCCCACCAGAAGGATCACACGCAAAGTCACTTGTGGTAGGCCCCTGCCCGGAAGTTTCGACATCAAAAAGTCTATATCCATAAGGGTCAGTCCGGCACGTAATCGTCTAGATCTTGGTATTTCAGATGTCTTCAGAGATTTTAGAGTCAAACGCAATCGGTCCAAGTTCAAGTTTGGGAAGGGGGCGTCATGTAAAGTATACCACATTTGCAAACCTGTAAGATATCGTTTTGTGGTATTGCTGATAACGGAGTGGTCATTATGCGATTCACCACACCACAGCACAAAATGATAGATGTCATTCGCAGAAGCTGGGAAAAGAGTAGATTTCAAGGACATGAATTGGAAGAATTTATTAACGGCGGCGGCATATTGTCAGACAGTAGATTGTGCCCATCCGTTACGCAGAATTGTTTTGCTCACGTTGTCCAAGGTGCCAAAGACCCCCGGCGCTGTCTGTCTTACAGTTAATTCTGCGGATGACATGGATTACTTGACTGAGAGGGAAAAACTTGTACGAGAAGGTCTTGCAAGTCAGAGGGGATGTCGGCTTTTATCAAATTATGTACGCCTTTTGAGGGGTCCTTTCCCCTTGAAAGTTTATCAGCTTCGTTGTCCTCTGAGGTTACTCGGACCAGGTTGATGTCACAATCCAACCGGACCAGCAAGTCTTGAACCACACGCCACTCCCTGTTCACCCAAAAGTCGCAAGACTTACGGTTCCTTGCCGCCCCTTCGGTCGTCGTATTATCCGTAAGGCAAGAGTACTTAAAACCGGCCAGGACCATCCTAGATGTTTTCATCTTGCATTCTAGCATTAGAAGGCCCAGCTGAACTGCTACAGTTTCTGCCCAGGCAATGGTACGCCTTGGCCGTCCATCTGGTTCATCCCAGCCCGGCAGCCATTTGAATTGGCACCAATTTCGTCCAATAATTATGCCAATGCTGTACTCGTTCGAGGCATCCCCCACCCACCCTAGGTTCTTCACTATATGATCCGGAATCATCTTTGTTGGTTGTAAATCATCAAGGTACAATTTCCAGTACCATAGGTCTTCTTTTATGTCGTCAGGTATTGTTTGTCTACCGGGGGTTTTCCATTTTGCCACAAACGCAAAGCTCTCAACCAAATAACATTTTGATTGTGGCAATATCAGAGTTAGGTGACTGAGTTTACCGTTAAACTTTTGCAATTCCCGTTTAGAGCAAGTCGTCTTGACTAAAAAGGCATCTACTTCCATCTTCCTTTTTAGTAGCTTCTTATCAGGCAAAGTGACCGTCTTCTCAACGCAATTCCATACGAATCCAATGAATTTCTGTTCATCTGCAAATTCTGAGTATTTCGTTTTGTTGGTCTTAACTCCCAACTCTTCACTAGCAGCTGCAATCTGGCGCGTTGTTGTTTTATTGGTTCAGTGTTTTATCATTAGGTTGTCATCGACCCACCTAAAAACTTCAATTAGTTTAAAGGTTTCTTTCGTCACTTCTTTCCAACCATCAGCAGGACCACCGAAGGATCCACAACCTGCCACTCCCCCAAAATTTATCATAACATCTATATAAACCATTTCATCAAAGTCTTTAATTGCTAAATATGGCCATTGTGAGGGGTGTGTTGGGATTTGCCTATACGCTCCCTCCCAATCAAAGATACCCACCTGAACATCCTTGTCTAAGTATTTGAAAAACCGTGCGACAATCTTAAAGTCGTCCCACGTTGTTTCAAATTCCTCCTTGTTCACGTATGAGTTAACTGATCGAATGTCTTTGTCGAATCGGGGAAAGGATATGTTGTTAATAGGTCTAAAAGACCCATCACCATTCTCTACAGCTCCTAAGGGGTTTGTTTGAAAGAAACCTAACCGACTATGCACCTCTTCTTTAGTGAATGGACCAAGAATCTTCCCAGCATTGACTTCCTTCTGTATGTTCTTTTCAATTTTATCTCTTGCATTCAGAGCTGAATTATGATTAGGTGGACAGTAATATTTCAAATCCTTTATTGTATGATAAGGAACCCCTTGGTGGAACCCATTTTTAAATCCATCTAGTAAGTATTTGTATTTGTGGAATAAATTGTAATCTTTCAATTTCTTTTCCCATACCGAAATATTCATAGCACATCTTACGCCAGTAGGCCAAGCCGCATTCATGGTATCCGGGTAACTATGGAAGGCATTTGATGAATTTATCAATTCACTCGTCGAACGTATGACCTCATTACTAACTCAAAACAAAAAGGGTTTTTCGATTTCAATTATTGAGGTTAAATGTTTTAATTGAAACAAAAATTGTTGGATACACATTACAAAACAACTGGGAAAAGAACAAAAATTCTATCAAAAACGGAATAGTAAAGATCACAAGCTCACGCTGTCTCTTTTGAGGTGGATTGCCTAGGCTCATTATTGTCATTGTTCGAATGTGATCAATCTCTATTACCCCAGTAATTGAGTAAGTTTTTGTGTTTATCAACACGCAAAGCGAGAAACCAGTAAGAGATCTTGCTTACACTTGTTTTCACTTATTAAAGGGGTACTTTCCTCTACCTCTCTCTCTACTATCATATCTATTACTTTCGTTTCTGTTCTCTTTGTTCTCATTCTTACCCCCATTGTTCCTATGATACAGCGAAATGAACCTATTTTCTCTCAAACCTTTCCCTCTGTTGTTCCGCCGATTTCTATTCTGATAACCATCACTTCGAGTACTGTCATTTCTAATGAAGGGTGGAGGTTTTAAGAAATAGCTATCCATTTCCTCATCTTCATCATTGACAATCAACGTATCATTTGTATTGTGGGTTTTTCCTCCTTGATACTTCTTTCCAGTGATAGGATTGAATTGCTCTTTTGAATGTCCTTTTGCGTAAGCTGAAGTATCAAATAAACATCAGGTGCCATACACATCATTTGTGAGCTACTAGCGTCTTTTGGGATAGTAAAACACTAAAGAATAAGGTTTTGCCTAACAAACTAAGTTTGTTGAGCGCGTGAGATCTTTGTTTAAAGTTCTAAACAAATTGATTAATGAAGTAGTGTGATCAAATCAGCACTGACTTCAGTTAATTGACCTTTTTAACAAAGGGTTTTGGATATCACTCCAGGAATTAATGCAAGACAGGAGTCTTCTAGCAGGAATAAGAGTAGAAACTACAGTCTAGTTTCGTGCCCAAGCTAATAACACTCTACTCTAGAGTTTATTAAGCAAGGGAAATATCACCTAGTGATATTTAAAGTTCTTTAAACTCTGAACACAGAGGAACTCCCGTGAATTTAGAGTTTCTCAAGTTATTGAATTCCCTTAATAACTTGAGCAATACTGCAAGGATCACCTCCTGAAAGAAGTCTTCAAAAGCACTTCTACAAATAACAAAAGCAATGATCAATTAGAGAAATATACAATGTCTAATGAAAGAGGACAAGGACTCTTATTTATCTGATTGATGATGTTTACTGATAATTTGATGATATGTA